CACTAAAAATTAATAACTCGCCCCGAAATCTGGTGGGAGTCACCTTTCTAATAGCCCATTAGGGCCAGGGAGAAGAGAGAAGACAAAGATACACTTAGTTTCAAAGATTCATAATTATTGTTAAGGTTTTACGCTTTTTCTTGGACAATTTTGCTTAGCCCTTCACAAGGTTGCTGTATTTTATAGTAATGGTGTGAATAGCAGTTCAGGAGATAAAAAATAAAAAAGGTCTGTAAAAAACTGTAACATTTTAAAAACAATTCAAACCTGTCCATGGAAAAAAAAAATTTAAAAATTAAAACAGCTTTATTTTGTATAAGTCAAATCGACTAAAGGTTGCAAAAATTGAAAGAAAAATAGTAAAAGAAGATTAGATACTGATATTGTATCAATAGGCAAAATTTTACGACTTGAAAAACCAAAACTAAATTATAATTATACTTTAAAATCCATTGCCCACAATACTACTTTTTTGAGATGTTAAGTATTCTATGATGGGTGCAAATTATTGTGTATATAATTTACTGATATGTGTTCATTTTCATTGTTTAATTTTATACATTTAAACTTTACTGGTTTGATTTTTGTTGGTATGAAATGATTAACATTGTTTCCATAGTAACACAATAATTTTAGGGGTGTCGGTGACTGCAATTGGTTAAGGTGGTGACACGGCTCTCATCACTGTAAGGTAAAGGTCCTGGGTTCAAATCCAGTGGCTCTGCATTTGAGCCCGACACAAATGGGCTTTTTTTTCCAAACACCGGCACCCTGAGGGTTGAAATACTCATTAAAAAAAAAATTATAATAATGATAAAATGGATGGTCATAGATTGTAAATTATTTTAACTGGAATTTTGCAGACAAAATAATCTACAATTTAAAGTCAGTTGTTTTCTTTAAATGGTTTTATAAACTAAATAAATTTACCTTGAATTACTCAAAAATAAATATTTACATTTTATTTGTGTCATTATAAACTATAAGCTTACGTTAGCATAATAACAGCTGTTGTGTGCATTCAGTTGTCATTGTCCTATTCGCCACTTACTCCACGTACATGGGAGCATTGAAGGCAGCGTTCCTTCTGCACAACGTGCTTTTAAATGCTATATTACGAGTGCCGATGTTCTTCTTCGACGTCACGCCGTTGGGACGTGTCATCAACAGGTTCGCTAAAGATGTCGATGTTTTGGACAGTGTGCTACCAGTCACATTGCGTGGTTGGCTCACATGCTTTTTTGCGGTAGGTCTTAATATTCAAATGGATGTTCGTATGCAACATTAAACCATATTTTAAATAGTAAATCCATGTTGTTCGGTGTAAATTCTCGAACATTTTATTTTGTCCCATTAGTGATCGTAGCATTTCTAAATGCCATTGTTTTTGTTCACTCGACAAATGTTTTTTTATAAATGTTAATTAAATTAAATTTGTATTCCACAAGTTAAAACAACAGTTGAAAAATACGAAATTCTCAGTAATTATCCTTACATTTTAACTAATATAATTTTAAATTTTCTTATCCTAAAACCATTCTTATGTGTTTAGATTTATTTCTACTATGTCATTCCTCAATCAGTTTATTATTACATTTTTGTATCATACAGATTAATTCATAGAAATGTTATTGCAATCAGTCCAATTTTAACAATTTTCCGCTTAAAAAACAAGAAAAACAAATATAATGGTATTTTAGAAAAAATGTCCTTTTGTTTTATAAATGTGTTGTTTATTGTGCTTGTTTTACATTTAAATTACATTAACTCTATTTTCTTTCCATGTGCCTAATAATATTGTAGCAAAAACAAGGGAATTATACATTTTATTTATTTTTTTGCCGTTGTTAATTATAAAAAATATATGTTTTTAAGCAGAATAATAGGTACATCATTTTTGCGTTGAAAAATACGATGAAAGAATCAGTGATATGTAGTCATTGCTTGCCTTAAAAAATATTTTTAATTACACTGAGGTTCTCTCATCAATCTTGATTATTTCAAATGTTTTATATGAATCCTCCATTTTGTAATATAATCAATTTTTTTGGTTATATTTTTCTCTGTGTGTTTAAATTCATAGTTCAAAAAAGTGGTGAAAACAGCTTGTTTATCTTCGTATATATATATTACACAGGGCGGGCGACCAGCCTGAGTAGGCCCGTACCCCAATTATATCTTCGTAAGTCCGAATTAACAATTTTAAAAATTGCAAAAATTAATCTTAAGCATTTTTTTTTTTAATTGTTTGGTTTTATCAAAAAGAATTCCCAGACTTGTGGAACGGGAGAACAAGGAAGTACGATATTTGAAAATTAATTTATACACACTCTCCAATGGCAAATGTTAATATTTTGCAAAAAGAGAGTGAACTAAAATCATAATTAATCTTAATAAAAAAATAAAATCATAATTAAGATACCGAATACGCAATATATTCTTTTAATATATTATAAGGTTTAAACTATACTATTTTTTCTAGCCACATATTACAATGTGGATTGTTGTCATTTTAAACTCTGATAAGCAATAAACAACAAAAATTATTATATAATTGTGTAATTAACAACAGATTATCAGCAATGCACAAATATTGATTATATAAGCTCAAATCTGCACATGCACTTATGTACATATGCACGTCTAAAAAGTTAAGGTTATCACATCTCGCAGCTTCCAAGCAATTCCAGCCATGGTAGTTAACAATAAATTGCTGGCAGCCTCGAGAATCCTGTACCCTGGGTGTTGGCAGACGGGTTCATCCATCCAGTCGTGAAGGTTGGGCTATCAATAGGTAATTTCAGACCCCAATACAATCAGTTCCAAAACCATTGACACTCATTCTTAAAATACATTCTTACTTATTTAATTACCATTCACTCAGTTAGGGAGGTGGAGTACTTTATATTCTTCAATCACCCTTCACACATATACTAATTTAATTGAGGGTCGACGGGTACTCAATATTGCACCATTGGTCATCTTACACTATTCACGCTAATAAATACATACATTCAGTCTCAATATACACAAAGAAGTACAAAACAAGTTATCTATATTATATACAGTAAAAAACCCCTATTGCCTCTAAAATTCGGAACAGGTGACCCAAAACTCTCTGCAGAACTCGAACACAATTCTCATATCTAGAGGCACTAAGCAACCTTTCTCTAGATTCCAGACACATACATGGGTTTTAGCTCAAAAGTAAATTTTGAAATTTCCTCCTGGTTGTGCGGGTGATCAATCTATTTTGTTAATTCAGACGTTTCAGCATTTTGCTCGCCATCTTCAGTGCTGTCACCTATACATATCACTCAAACACTGAAAATGCGATATACCGAAACTTGTTTGAATTAACAAAAATCAGCGAGGATAGGGAGACCACTAGAGTGAAAGGTAACTTTCAAACCAAGTGTCCGTGAGTCAACCTTGCATGACCTATCCTTAGTCGGGTGGAGTGACCCTTTTTCTTCAATTGCTTTGAGTGGTTCCTACTGACAGGGCTCTTGGTAAATGAGAGTTTCTCTGTCGAACACGGCCACATTCTTATAATCAAGTTTTTTAAATGAATTTTTAGGGTCAGAGGGTCAGATTGTGGTGGTTATGTCCAGCAGTTGGATATCTGGGCCTTAATTGTAAAATTAAAGAACAAATAATTTTCAAACAGCTAAAAAACACTAGGAACAAAATATCACAGTAAAGACAAACTAGCACTACAAATTAATTATTTTGCTCAGGCTATGTGAAAGTAAATTGCATAATTAACTACATAACCCACTTAGAATTAGTTTTAATGGTACACCAAAGCCAGTTTACCATTATCCTTTTACGTACTTCTAAGTGTTAAAATTGATAAAAATGATATATATATTTTTTTTTTTTCCTATTTAGTTCGTAATGTCATACAATGTTTAATCAACTATAAGTTTGCCATGATGTGAAATTTATGTTTGAACATAAAAGGTTTTAAGTTAAATTTATTGTAACAACTTTTAGTGGAATTATTATTTTTTTCTTTTTAACTCAAGCTTCGCTTTTATTTTTTATTTATTAATGCTGTATATACAATTATTTTTCTTTCAGTTTTACAATGAAATACCTTAAGATTTTACCATTTATAAACTAACCAGAACAATAAGATCTTACTGCCATGTATTTGATAATGTGTAATTATATTTGATTTATTATGGAAATAATTGAAGCATTAACAGCATAGAAATTTATTATTTTTTAAATTGTTGGATTCTGAGATTTTTAAAGTAAACCGAAAAAAATGAAGTTTATATTATGCTTTAAATATAGAAATATGATTGGATTAGAACTATAAACAACCTGGTTTTGAGTTGGAATAAAATAATTCTCTTAGATATTGAAAACATTAATCCATGATTTATTAGAGCATTACTGCCATACTTTTAGAAATTAACACTTAATTTTATTTTGATGCATGCCAATTATATATTTGTTATATTTTATTGGCATAATTTTGCTATTAATTTTTTTAAGATAACATTGCAAAAGTTTTTTTATGCAGAATGTTAAACATTTTTATTTTATTAAATTAAGATATGTCAAATTTTCAAGCAAACATGCACATTATCACTCTTTTTTTACATGGCAATTTGCTTAACTGTAATGCTGAACGCCGCGCGATAGATCATGATAAAGTTTCAGGCACTTAAATATATGTTTGACCTTATTTTTTACTAAAATTACTAACTTGTACTGATTTAACCCTTAAAATTCTCAGAATATGCTGAGGGAAATGGCAGTTATATTTTATAATCAAAATTTTATTTAAAATAAAAATTACACATATATAAACATAAACATGCTTACCTTTTTAAGTGCTTAATTATAACCTTTTATTGGATAATGCAGCATTTCACACATCCACATATTTTAGCTTGATTTTAGCGAGAAAAGGAGATAGTACAAAAAAAATTTGAATTACCAGTTGTCTTATTGTGTGAGGAAAAAGTTATATTTAATTCCAGGTGTATTTGTATTTTTTTCTGACCTCGTGCCACGGCTTGGATGTTGGATCGCAGCGTACAACCTCCATAATTACTTGTTGATGGGCGTGCTGAAAGCCCCTCTTTCCTTTACTGACATTACTCCAATTGGAAGAATAATATCACGGTTTTCAAAGGGTATTGATACGCTCGACAACACTCTTCCATGGGTCATTTCAGATGCTATATATTGCCTTTTTGAAGTATGTTTGACACAATTTTCAATTAATTTCTTTTTTCCTTTATTTATCTATATTGCATAAAGATATTCCTGTTATATTATTACAAATAAATATAATGATGGAGCCTTCATATAATATTAATAACTTACATTTTCAGATTTCATTAGTCACCAATTTTTAAAATACTTATTGTCAAACAGTGATTTGTAGGTTTTTTCTGTTCCTCTCATTTGAAAAATGGAGTATTGTCAAAAAATTAAATTATAACTATCGGCTTTTAACAATAAATTGCCGATTAAAATTTCCAGTTGATTAAAGACATTTCAATACTTTGAATTAATTGATTACTTTTATATTTAAATAATGTGGAAGCAGTTTGATAGGTTTATCTTGATTCACTTAGTTAGCTGACGTAAAATTTGATTAATTGTTTGGGAGTTTTGTGAAGGGTAATTTGGAAAAAAAATGACAGGAGCGACGGTGGGAATTGAACCTTCAATTCAACCTAATAATGGTATGCTGAATATAAAGCTAGTAACATATTAACACTTAGTGCTATGTATACAGGCATATGTGTGTGGTACTATACATTTGACTGGATATTTTGTTCAGACATGTTTAGTTATTTTGTCTTCGGTGGAAGATTTTGTACCAGTTTTGGATTGACCAACAAAACATATCCAATAAATGGTTGCGTTATCCCTTTTGCTGTTTGTTGGAACAGTTTATTGTGTCACATAAATTAGTCAATTTTTTGAAAGGTGGGGGTTAATTTTTGTTTTTAAATATAGTTGACTTTCTTATGCACACTTTCGTTATCTGTGCTTTCAGTCGCACCCCTAGTAGAGTTCTAGAGGAGAGTTTGTACGTGGTGAATCATAATCAGTATGTATGTATGTTACCATACGTTGATTTTTCACAGTTTTTTAACAATTGACAATTGGCACACAATAGTGTCTGATTGGTATGCAGATAGAAGAAAATGCTTCTAAGCATGAAACTATCCACATTTCTCGTTCCACGGTTATGCTTGGATCTAGAATGGTCTACTGTAGTTCCATTTTCTGTATCAATTTAGCAAGAATTGCAGTAGTAAAACTATCTACTTTTTGTTTTTTTATTGTTCTAATTTAGTTGAATCACAAGGACCACATACAGCACTATCATTCACAAAATAACTAGAAACTTAGGAGTTTGAGAGAATACTGTCTCATTTTTACAAGACATGCATGATCTTATTGCTGCAATGGATTCATTTCTTGTCTGTTTAGTGCAATGTATGTTTGCCTTATCATTTCAACATTGTTTTCAGGGAGTTTTATGTTTATTTTTAAGGAACTTTTTAGAGAATGTTTATTTTTGTGAAAAGAAACAGCAAAATATTTTTTATTCAATGGGTTTGATGTTTGGATTATTTTCCATAGGAAAAAATACCTTAATAGGAATATCTTTATGCATTAATATTATATTTATTTATTTTCAGAGGTGCTATAGTATGAAAGGCAATTTTATTTGGTAAAATTTGTAGGTTTTTAAATTCATTTTGTGAATAGTTATTTTTTTGATTTTGTACCTTTTTGATTTATTCTGCTTAAATTCATATTCGAAATGAGTAAAATTATTGTGAAAATTTATTTGTTGCTTACATGTCAAATCGCTTATACAGATTTTTGAAAATGTTGTGTTTTTTGGGATCAAGCAAAATTTGGTACTAACGTGTAAAGTCCGGTGAACTGCATGAAGAGTTAGAAAGTTGTTTTTGCCATTTTCCATTTAATTTAAGAAACCATGCTTCCCTTTTAGGTAATATCGACATTGGTTGTAATCAGTTATTCGACGCCTATTTTTGTATCGATTATTATACCGATCGGCGTCATATACTATTTCATACAGGTGAGCTACAATAAAATCAAACAGAATAACAGAAGTATACGTGTTATTATGATTTCTAGCGATTCTATGTGGCGACTTCTCGACAATTGAAAAGATTGGAAAGCGTGTCAAGATCACCAATTTATTCACATTTTGGTGAAAGTGTAACTGGTATGTTTTGAAATTTTTTTATTATGTTCAAATTGAGGCATGTAAAAATCACGTAAATTTATTAACATGTAAAGTGTCAAATAGGTGATAAATTGATTAGATAATACATTGATAATTTAGTTCATTATCTAATTGATAATTAAATAATAAATAATAGATTGATTAAATTATTCATATGTCCAAGGCAATCTTAATTGAAGTGCTCAAATATCTTTATAATCAATCATGTGTAATTTTCAGCTAGAATTTTGATTGTTCTGGAGTGCCGCAGGTTTTATTTATACAATTCTTCTGTTGTTCTATTTGCACTCTATCTTCTGTTGTTGGTATTTTTCAAAAGTACAATCATATTCATCATGTTCATGTCAAAGCCTCACTGAAGATGGTGGTTTATTACCAGCTGGAATAGGCAAATCATGATGATCAGATTTGACCAAACTATAACCTCGACATAATCAGTTGTTAATTTTCTAAATTGTTTATATTTTGACTTTCCTACCATCCCATCTTCCTAAAATAATCCGTCGAATCCTCTAAAATAAACCTCGACCATCAATTTGGATTTTGGCATCACCATTTTATTGCTTAACAGTGCTATCGGGTTGTGGACATCATCGCATCCTCCCTTGAGAAGAAAGAATGCTGCTCGGGAGTCTTTCTCAATATCGAACAGGATTTCGATCGAGTCTAGCACCTGGGTTTTCTCTGGAAACTCAAGAGCTCCTATGCTCTATACACTTTCTCATCCTTAATCCTACTCGGTAGGTACTTAAGAGTATGGGGCAGATCCTCACACTCTACTTTGTACAGGGTGGACTCGGGACTCCCTCAGGGTAACTCCTTAGCCCGCTACGTACTCTATATGTACTGCTGATATACCTCCCTGTCTCAACACCACTACCTTAACTCACGCTGATGACAGTGCCATTCTATCGGCAAATCAAACTGAACACTACATAGTCGCAAAATACAACCTTAACTCTCCGTCGCATCACTCTACCTCCAATCTATTATTACCTCATTCTCCTTTCAAAAACGTTATCTACTACCTAGGACTATGTCTAGACAAACGACTCACCTGGAATCCTCATGCACGACTTAGAAGAATAGAGCTGAACAGATGATACTGATTACTTACAAGATTATTAGGCGACAATGTAAACTCTCCCTCGGCAACAAAATATTCGTATACAACACAATACTGGAACCAATATTGACATTATGACATAGATTGGGATTCAACCAAAGCTTTCAGTCTCCACAAAATCCAGACGAATAGATATAAATCTATCATCTATGCCCCAATCTATGTTTCCAACCATACCAGTCATAATGACCTAAATGTTTCCTTTTTAAATGGGCTGTAAAATCCAGTTTCAAAAAATTCCCACTGACAACAACTTTCCTCCTGATCTCATCCTAATTATCCTCCTTGACATCTAAAAAGACAGTGTCCCCGAGGCCTGCTCTTAGTGCAAGTGATTAAGAGATAATTTCTCTCATTTAAGAGAGCCTATCACTGGATAGCTTCTCCATTCAATTTCTTTTTGCTTTTTTCCTTTTCTTTTGTATTATTTCATTATCTATGTAACTTATTGTTCTTCATGAAGATTATTGCTCAATTACCAATAAAAAAGACCAAAAAAAAGGGAATAGTTTTGACTTAGATTTATTTGTTTACAATTTTGTTATAGGCTCTATGATAATAAGAGCTTACAATGTTCAGCCAAGGTTCGTTAAGGAATCAGAAGAGAAAGTAGATTTCAATCAAATATGCACGTTTCCTGGTATAATCGCCAATAGGTGGGATAGTTTAATGTTTAAATAATTATTACAGCATCCTTACACAATTTTTATTTGCAGATGGCTAGCCGTTAGACTAGAAATGATTGGAAACTTTATAATATTTTTTTCTGCGCTGTTTGCCGTCCTGGGTCGAGATACATTGAACGCAGGTCTTGTCGGGCTTTCAGTCAGTTATGCATTGCAGGTGAGAGATTCTTTTCTTTTTTATCAAAAGACCAGAGAATTATTTAAATATAATAACAATACTGTATAACTGTTTGTAGATTACACAAACCCTAAACTGGCTTGTTCGAATGACTGCCGATGTTGAGACGAACATCGTCGCCGTTGAAAGAATCAAAGAATATGGAGATACCACACAGGTACTAAAACAACATTTTAATTTTTGAAAAATTTATTACAAGTATAATTGTAGGAGGCACCTTGGGAAGTCACACCTAACATCGTAGGCCCTAACTGGCCGACCAACGGTGTCATTGAATTTCACGATTTCAAAGTGCGTTACAGAGAAGGACTTGATCTTGTTTTGAAAGGACTATCATTTAAAATCAACGGAAGTGAAAAGGTATAATTTCATAATTGCAATTGTGGTTTGTTATGATTTTAATTAAATTACTTTCAGGTCGGTATCATTGGAAGAACAGGTGCCGGCAAGTCGTCAATGACTCTGAGCTTGTTCAGAATCATTGAAGCAGCCCAAGGGACAATTCTAATTGATGATGTTGATATTTCGAAATTAGGCCTTCATGCTCTAAGATCCAGAATCACTATCATACCTCAGGTAATGTAATTTTTCGGCAACTATGCAATTTGTAAATAGTTCTTCACATGTCACACTATTAAAAAAATAATAAACTTCATCTCTCTCTTAACCCTTTTCACCCTTCTGAAGTAAAGCACCACATTCAGAAAAACTCAAATAGAAAATCCCCTGGGCGTAATCTACCTACTTCAAAACCTCCCATAGTTTTCTTAACTTCAATAAATAATACTATCCTACGAACCACTCATTTTCCTCTCTTATAGAAATATTCCGTTGTTATTGTCATTCTTTAAGCTTTCAAACCTTTACAAGAACCAGCCATTTTGACCTCCTTGCCCCTTAAGCCAGGAACACACTTACCCGATGCTACGCCATGCGACGCTACCCGATGCTTTGCGACGTTTTGGTGGGGTGTGCACATCTATCCGACGCAGGTACACGTCGCATACAGTCCACAGCGTTTATCACAATAATCACTATCACAATCGCAAGACATCTTTTGTTCTTAAAGCACTATTTTGAGCAAAACCTTGTAATGAATTGTTAGTTAAATTTTATGAGCACAACCATCTAATAAATTGTTTGTTTTGGTTTACATTAAAATAACATGTTGTAATTAATATAACGACAAAATTACATGTACTTAGTTTGAAATAAACTACAAAAAATATGAGTGTCCTGTTCTGATGCTACCCGACATTAGAAAATGGTGTAATTTTACGAGCAAAACTATGAAATAAATTGTTAATTAAATTTTATGAGCAAAACCGTGTAATAAATTGTTCCAATTTTAGTATATGTACCGCTGAAGCGAGTACAATAAATTGTTAGTTAAATTCATTATATCAAAAAATTGTATTCTGGTGTTTTGATTAATTTTCTACCAAACCATTAAAATTAATTTTTTAAATAAAAACTAATTAATTTTAAATCACAGTTAATTTGGTTTTTATTAAAATAAGTATGTTGTAATTAATATAACGACAATAATACATGTAGTTTGAATAAAAATATGAGTGTCCGGTTCTTTTGTCTTCGACTGTACTCGATGTGACCTGACGAAAATCTGGACAGTGGGGACGCAGAGCGTCGGGTAGATGTGCACGGGGGTAATGCAACCTTACGGAAAATCGGAGTTTGGATTTGCGTCGGGTAGCGTCGCATGACGTAGCATCTGGTTTCTCATGGCATGTCATCTAAGTGCAGTATTGGCATTTTTTAATTATAAAGGCATACAACCACGATGGGTCAAAACTGCCTTGATGATGAATTAATCAATGAGAGAAGAAAACAGAGAGATAAGCCAGGAGGGGCAGGGACACCAAGAGCGGGTGCCTCCCCACAGCAAACCAGATTCCACAAGACCAGGCAAGAACAGACACCTAGACCAGCTCCTCTCCACACAAGACCTTAGTGGTTAAGACAGTGGCAGACTTCTCAGAAGGCTGCGCTTGGTGTGCGAGCATCTGCAGCCCTCCCAGGTTCCGGGGGTCAAACTCTACCCAGAGGCCAGCCCACGTGCCCAGCTCCACTCACCCCCAGCACCGGCGCCCGCACCCAAGGCTGTTCCGCCTTCCTACACATCACAATTTATCGGTCTGTTAGGATCTCAAAAAGCTTTCTAATGTTAGCTGGGGAATCTTTCAAAATTTCCAAGCTTATGTTTGACCTGAAGGTCTTCCTAGTTTCTGCATGATGACAGAATATGCTTGATGGTGATTATTTCACCACAAGTTGTGCATCTTGGAGGAGGTTCTCTGGCCATTAGGTAACTTTGTGTTAGTCTTGTGTGACCTATCCTGAGCCTGGCAAGCACGGTTTCTTCTTTTCGAGATCTTTGCATTGCCGTGTCCCACTGACACTTTCCTTAATTTCTCTTTTTATTTTTTTTCAAGGGATTAAATTTTATCCAGCCAAGGAAAAATTTGTGTTTTGTTTTTCTAGGATCCAGTCTTATTTTCTGGCACGCTCCGTTTCAACCTTGATCCATTTGAAAACCATAATGACGATCAAGTATGGAGGGCTATTGAACTTGCCCACCTCAAAAATTATGTCGCAGCCCTCCCCAACAAACTTCAGCACGAAGTCGCCGAAGGGGGCGATAATTTGAGGTATTCATTGCTAATAGTTTCAAATTGCTTGTAATAAAAATGAAAATTACTTTTTAGCGTCGGGCAGAGACAGCTTATATGCCTGGCAAGAGCCTTGCTGCGTAAAACCAAAGTGCTGGTCCTGGATGAGGCAACTGCTGCAGTTGATCTTGAGACAGATGATCTCATCCAAAGGACAATAAGAACTGAATTTTCTTCTTGCACAGTCTTAACCATTGCTCATCGGTTAAACACAATTATGGATTCTGACAGGTAATAACATTAAAACTAAAATTTTCAAATTTTAAATTGACCCTCAGACAAATAAACTATAATATTTAATCAATTAACTATTACTAAATATTAATTTTGTGTTTGTATTTATAGGGTACTTGTTTTGGACAAAGGGTGCATTGCTGAGTTTGAGAAACCGGAGGTGCTTTTAAAGAATAAAACTTCTATATTTTACGGGATGGCTAAGGATGCGGGCTTAGTAAGTTAGGTATGGGAAGGATCTTAGCAAAACATGACATCACATGGTTAACTAGAAGTCAAGAAAATTTTTATACAGTTTTTATATATTTTATTTTAAACAGAATATGTACATAATTACCGTCAAAATACCTCTGATCTCTTAACAACATTGTACTTTTGTCTTTTACTTACATTCCCCCCCTTGCCCATCAATGTTAAAACTGTTACATGTAAAAAAAAAAAAAAAATACTCAAGTGGCCTTTGAAACTTAAAATCTAAGAATTTTAGCTTTAATTATTAATTGTTATAACAGTGTCAAAAACTGAACACTGCCTTATAATAAATTTATTATAAAATTAAATCAAAGTTAACAATTGAATTTACAGTACTTATTAGTAAAAAGCTACTTAAAAATAATAAAATGTTGGTCAATATTTGAGATCAAATTGACTGATTTCTTATTTTATTTCTTATAAGTAATAATTTTTAAGATAAAAAATTCAGAAATTTTCCCTTTAATTTTCTTTTTTATCTTGTATAAATCTGGATCTTTAGAGCTGAGTATAAAAAAGTTGGTGCAAAGAAAATTTAGAAACAGGTACTTAAATCTTTGTGATTCTCAAGGCAAAATGTTAAGATATGTTGAAATATGTCATTTGTCATAATGCCATCACTACTTTTGCTCAGTTTACTTAGAAGTTGTAAATGATTTCCTTGCTATTGAATCTGTTACCTTGTAGTATATTTGGCTGGTTTTTATATAATGTGTTTTATATAAAAGTGATTCATAGTACAAGTTGTCTTTTTTTTATAATTTTTTGTATGGAAATATTTATATTATTACCATTTTTTTCACTGTGCATTATCTTAATAGTTATATTTTACATGGTTAATGATGTGGTTGGTTATTTTGCACGATATGAAACAAAATCTTTATTCATACTTAAGTGTAATTGAAAATAAAATGTTAAATTGTTTAATTTATTATATTTTATTATTCCCAGTTACAATAAAAGTACTTGTGATTCAGTCACAAACGGATGACCATGGGTGAAAAGCTTTCTTGGAGCATTTAAGTTTCCAAACCACAGTTTGATAGCAATGGTCTATTTCATTGTTGCATATCTTTCATTTAATTATTGTGGATATTTCATACTGCTGCCATGTATCATTATCAATTTTTTTAAATGATCCACAATTTTGGTTTCATAGGCTGTATTTCTTGGTATATGGTTTCAAGCTACCGACTTGACGAGAAATCCACTCATTCATATGTATTATTGCTTACCGCTCCTCAATCCAAATCATAAGCCACAGACCTTCGCTTTTCTACTTTCAGCAGAATTTTCTTTTATTACATTTTAATTTACACCCAAAGGGTCTTGGGGATAAACCAGGTTTTTATTTGCGGTTAACACGCCGAAAAAAAATTATCAAATTTTTGTATCCCTGTTCAGTTAAGTGATTTAACACTTCCTTCTTAATGGTGGGTCGGTGGCTGCAATGGTTTAGTTGTTGACGTGACACTTCACTGTAAGGTAAAAGGTCCCAGGTTTGAAAACAGCAGCCATGTATTAAAAATGGGCTTTTTTTTTTTTTTTTTTTTTTTCAAAAACGCACCCTATTGGTTGATATCACCTCTCCTGTTGCAAAATATTGGGGAACAAAACTTCCTCCTTCTGCAGGACATATCGCGGCTATGTTGGGGGAATTTTTTCTAAATTACAATATTATTCATTCCATTACAGCTGTGCCAGTTCCTCCCTACAATTTTGAGCAATCTGAATATATAACAGCAGGCTCCCTTCTGTTTCATAAGAACCTCTTACAAAGTCTTATCATGTATATATTCAAAAATAATGGGTGACTGTGGGCCTGTACTGTTTCAATGACTTCTTTCACTGCTCCTATTTTATAGTTTTTTCCTAAACCATGCTACTTGTGTACAGATCACCCGAGCTTTCGATAGCTTCTCTCATATTTGATTTCCTTTTGACAAGGTCTGGCATGAAGGGCTCATCAATAAACTAAAAGGGATGCTACCAAAGCAGCAATACTCAAAATTAAAAAATAAAAATAGACCACAAGGTAGCATTTTAGGTCCACTTCTTTACTTGGTATACACCAGTGATTTTCCAAAAATAGATGGAATAAAAATTGCAAAGTTCGCAGATCAGTAGGACTGACTATCAACCAGACAACCAAAATCCTGCAAAATGCTTGTAATAAGGTAAACAAACGTACCAAAAAAAAAAAAAAAAAAAAATCAAGCTAAATCAGCATAAATCAGTGCATCTAATCTTTACAAACAAAAAAGTGGACCATGTTCCATCGCTCACAATCAATGGAACTATTATACCATACAGCAATACAGCTAAATATCTGGGAATGACCTTAGATACATGTGAAGAAAAATAGGACAGAAAGGTTAAGGTTGGTGACGTGGTTCCGACCTTGCTATCCAAAATAAAATATACAAACAAGTACTAAAGCCTATGTGGACATATGGTATTCAATTATGGAGTTGTACCAAACAGCAATACTCTACGTAACATGGTCAATGCACCTTGGTACGTTAGGAATAAGGATTTACATAGGGATCTTAAGTTCCCTGAGGTCATGGTGGAAATATGAGATTTGCCGCCAACCACCAGTCTCGCCTCTGCTAGCACGAGAATTTGGAAGTGACCAAACTTCTACATAACCAAAACACCATCAGAACATTAAAAAGCACAAAGCCATAAGAAAATAGTGAAATGTAAATATTATTGTACCAACGGGTTTATAAGAATGGAAACAATATATCTACAAATATACACAATAACATTATATATATAATTTATAATTTTTGGATTGTTTTTAACCTTTCCATGTGGTTTTATTAAAAATTTTAAGTTTTATTTTTACATTAAATTTTTTTGATGTTTAGAGTAGTAGATGTATGACCTTTTGCAACAACGGTTGAAATATTTTTTTAAATGTATCTATTTTTCTGTGGTCAAAGTTGATCTTTTTATTTGAATGAAGTTCGTTTTACACGACTCGGTCTGGCGTGCTTAGACCTTAATCCTAATCCAAAATCTGGGCGGTGAACGGTGGCTGGTAATGGGAGCCGGGCACTCCCTAGCGTGTCCGCACGTACCGGCTAATCACCCGGTGTGTGTGTGTCCGGCCGTGTGTGTATGTGTGTGTGCTCCATTTAATCACGGCATAATGCCGAGGAAGAAGCCCCTTCGGGCCTAATTCATACCAAACCGGTATTTACTAGAAGCCATCCCATCGGCCGCTCAAGAAGTTGCCAACACAGGCTACCGGCCGGTTCCACTCCTCAATGACTTCCCTTCTTTAATACACGAGCTTTTTTTTCCCCTCCAACACAGTCAATCAAACCATCAGATCGGAAAGGGCGAATTATCATAAAATTACCTCTGCCTTAACAACTCCAAACAGCAATTATTCAGCTACCAATCTTCCATCTTCCTCTCATTATGAAAATTAATTCGCAGGAAATATAAAATTTAAACAAATCGTTTGCATTCGACCCAAAAATTGTTCAATTTTTAATTCAAAACTGCATAAGTTAAGTTTTAATTTTTTTAATCACGTCAGATTTTTTCGCTCTCAAAATTTTTTCCATTTCAACACCACTTTCTAAACGGTTTTCTTTTAACTGTAAATGTTTTTCGTAAATGAAAATTTGTTAATATGTCTCCACAAACACGCATTTAGTTCCACTAGCTGATGTTGAACATGGAATAACAGGTAATGTCGGTCGAAAATCCCCTGCTAAGTACTGCACCACCGAAGTTCGTTTCCACATAAATCTTGCAATGTTCGATCCAATGCTCCATACGATTTTTTTTTTGCTCCATTGTGGGTTCGTCCCATATAATTGCCTTGCGATGCTGGAACTCATTCCTGATCTTTTTGAAATGTTGTGAGTTGGTTTCAATGTTTTTTAAATTCAATTGCAATTTAAGAGCTGAATGTGCTGATCGACAACCATCCAAAATAGTCGACGCAATTCGAGATGATGCGTCATGCAATCTTATTTTATACACGTATGGCCAATACCATTGAATTCCATTGAATTACGAAATTGCTTTTTCTATGCCATCGGGCTCATGCAATGGTCGATTAGGGGATGTCACTCCCACTTGTGACAATGCTTTATTAGCAATTACCAAACACTTGTTTTCATTTAAAACCAATACTTCGTTATAGTTGTATGATGTGAATTGCATGTCGCGGTTGAAACATCTGTAAAGGTTCTCACTAGAATTTGACAGTTTACTTTTTAACTCACTTTACTGACCATACGATTTACTACATATATATTTTGAACTAGGCAAAACCCTAGGGTTGTATATCGATTTTTACCTTTGTACTAAATCGATACTACAATAGTCCCCCTTACATTTTTCAGAAGAAAATTTTAGTTTAAAAAAATATAATTTGACTATTAAAGTTAGAGAACAAAACAAAACAAATTGTAAGAAAATACTTCAAGTTCAGTTGTAAAATTTTATATGTATTCTGATGTACGACTTTTTTAATTCAAAACGCACTCTTGTCCGACTTTTCAGGGTCTTGGTGTGTGTTGCATTGCCTGATGTAGTTGGCGCATCTTTTTGGGTCACATGGTTGGGGAGGTATATCTTCACAGGGTGGGTCTAATAGGTATGCCGGCTTGACGAGATCTATTGCGACTGTATCTTCCCGTCCATGTATCAACAGCTTGAAAAATTTTGGATACCTTTTTAAAACTTTGAATGGTCCACTAGAGGGTTGGCTAAGAGATGGACGCATCTTGCCTTATGAATACGCGAGGAGTTGTTGAAAGGTCAGGATGGGTGAATACTGACGGGACACGTCTGAGTTTCCTCTCGATTTCTCTTGTTTGAATAGAATATTGGTTGAGGCGAAGCACAAAGACACTTTGCCTTCTCCGATTTGTCTCAACTGAGATAATAGTTGAGACGGTTTAGTATGTCCTAAAATGGAGGTCCTTTAGCAATTTGTTGGCCGTAATAGCATCATACTCCTCATAATGTGTAAGTAACCTTGCTTTTAATACCGTATACGGTGTTTCATGAGGAGGAGAAATGACAATTTCCCTCACAGCCTGTAAAATATTTATACCATCCACAATATAATTAAATTTCTCATTCGTAATGCGGTTATTTTCGAACTGAGCCTCTGCTCGGACAAACCAGAGGACCACGTCTTTTGTCCAAAACGGAGGTA